TATGAATAGTTTCATCTGGAACATTGAAGATTGTAAAGACAGACATATTACCACAATTCTTCTCATCTAACAAAGGTATGTTCTCATTTGGTAACTTTTCTGAAATTTAGTTCAAAGTTCGGAGTACAGATTACTGTTCAAATTCAAGTAGCAATGATGAGATGGTGATGATTCCTACCACAAGTGAAACAAGCACACGCATGCGCACACTCAACTGAACAGCACTCACAAAGGTTTCTGCATTTTGTACTCTGGATTTTAATTAGCAATTCATTTTTTTCCAATATCAGTGAACAAGTTTTTAAAATTTCTCTTTAGATCACAGCAATCAGAAAAAGAGAGACCAAATTAGAAATGAAAATATAGTCACAATACCAATGGTTTTGTCTATGTGACAGGCTAATTACTTATATGGCAGTTCCCCTCTTTAAGGTATGACTTAGTTTCAAGCTCTTAGGTGTACAGCTTCTAGATGTTTCCAGAAATAGCCATTTTATTGGACTTGTACAAATTTTAGTACAGCCTGGGGCTAAATCATTTCACTGTGGCTTGAGAGAAGTACTTGACCCCATTGCAGGCCCTGCAAGGTCAAGGAGAAATAAGACAGGTCACAGGTACTGCTTCCACCCCAGGAGAAGACATACGGCTGGAAGAAAACCTCCCCCAGCTTCCCACAGAAGTTTCAGTCTATTACAGAAGTTTCATGAGTTTTGGTCTCTATGCTAGAACTTCTCATATGAAAACTCATCTCTAATTAGACTGTAAGGATCTGACTATGGAACTGTTCAGGACAGTGCTCCTCTCTTGAACAAACTCCCAGGGGCACCCTGTTTTCCACACTTGAAATGTTTTGTAGTTTCTCCCAGGAATTAGTAAGATAACAAATGCATGTGCAATGCCTAGCTGTTGTGGCAATGAACTGCATAAGGAGGCTCTGTGCTAGAGTTTTATCACCCTTGATCTTGACCTCAGGCACTCAGACCCTGGAAATAAAGAAACTCTCTTGTTAGACAACCACAATGTTTCACCACCCTATGTTGTGCCTAAACCTGTCCACATAACAGTAACTTTAAACTATGGACTTTCTTGAGAGTTACACAAAGCTCCTAACATTGCACATTGCAAGTATAGTATGTAACTGAGAAATAAGCTTCACGATGTTGCTAACTCTGTAACCTGCCTAATGACACAATGCACAATAATAGACTACTAATGCCAGTGACCTAATATATCCTATTGATATGAATAAGGCTGACAGCTTGAGCAAGGGCTTTCTGCCTTTCTGCCATTCTGCCATTCTGCCATCCTGCTATTCTGCCACTTTGCCTGTGCACCTTGCTTCTGTCTCCTTTTCATTACCTTTATATTTGACTGCTTGTGGGATATCATATAACTAATACAAACTACTGATGCTCATTTTCATCTTGAGAGGCTGTCCACTGTTATAAGTTCATTTAACTACAGTTGTCACTAGCCTTTTGAACACTTTGAATTTGCTACCATTATGATTGTCATTTGTCCCTTGCTGCATTATCTCTTTCTCCTGTGTCTTTGTCTCTCTTGATATAGTAGTCAATTCACTAGCTTGTGGGCCTTGGGTGTTTTTCTAACACTGTGTATTGATAAGTTTCTTTATTGGTAAAATGAGAATAATATTACCTACCTTATAAGAATACAGGGAGAATTAATTGTGATAATGTTTTTTTTATTTTATTTATTTGTTTGTTTGCTTATTTATTTATTTGGTCCAGGGATTGAACCCAGGGAGATTTATCACTAAGTTACATGTACAGCTCTCTTTTAAATTTTCAATTTTGAGAGAGGCTTTGACTGTGGCAGACAATGGTCTTGAACTTGAGATCCTCCTGACTCAGACTTCCAAGTCGACTATTGGTATTACAAACATGTCCAACTGAGTCTGGAAACTAATACTATTTTTATGAAACAAAATTCTCATAAAATATAACTTAGCATATAGTAAACATTATATATATATACAGTAGTATTAGCTATCATTATTTGATAACTAATAACATTTCAAGTTTTGTGGCTTTTTGCATAGTGTGACTGTAAAGTCTTAAAATCAGTTAGCATATCTATTTTAGTCAGTTTTTGTGCTGCTATGATAAAAGGACCTGGCCAGCACAATTACAGAAGGAGAAGAGTTTATCTGAGGGCTCATTGTTTCAGTGGTCTTAGACCAGAGAAGGTAGGCTCCATACCTCAGGGCTTGAGGTGGGGCTGAATGTAAGGGCAGAGTGTGTGGCAGAGGGAAACTGCTCACATCATGGTGATCAATAAGCAGAGAGAGAGATTCAGCTCTCCAGATATAACTATTTACACCAAAGCCACACCCCAATTCCCACCTCCTCCAGCCACACTCTACAAAGTCAGTTACATCTCAATTAATTCTCATCAGGGGATTAATTCACTCATTAGGTTAAGACTCTCACAACCCAATCATTTCTCCTCTGAGCCTTCTTGCATTGTCTCACATGTAAGCTCTTGGAGGGTATCTCACATACAAACCAATAGAATACTGTGGATAGACAGATTAGATACTAAGTAAATATACATCAATCAATATTCATCAGTGATGTCTGGTTTACATAAGCCAAAGGCAAATTACAAATGAACAAAAATTAGAATATATTTTAGAATTTTAGCTCAGAGATACCACGAGTTCAAGATATGGAGGTTACATTAGGCTAGGGCTGAGTACACCTCTACTGAATTCCCATTGGCACTTATATTCTGTGCATCTGAGAAGGCAGTGGTCTTCAGAGCATTCTAGTTTTGTTCCCCTTTGGGATAGAAGATGAAACTGCTTAAATCTACCTTTCCCCAAAACGTATAAACTAAAACTCACACTAATTTCTACATAGTCTTCTTCTAGTAAATGCACACTGTTTTTTCTTGATTTTTGCCACAGAAATATTACAATGTATCAACATTTTGTTGTAATTTGCCTCTTAAAATATGTTTTCTCCTGGGAAAGACAAATAACATATAACAGTACTTTTCTGGAAGCACACAACCTAAATGAAATGTCCATGAAGGTCCATTGATGGTATCAGCCTCTGGAATTGACTTCTGTCCATGTGACCAGAGAGGACTCACGATAGCCAAATAATGAAAAGCATAGAAAAAGAAAATTAAGCAATTGGAAAGAGGATAACATGTTTCTCTGCACAAGTAGAAAATGAAATGTTTTATTTTACAGAAATAATCTGTAAAATAAAACCTTTTTCAGAAAAAAGGTTTATGTGTCTACATGGACCCAGTCACAGGCCTACAAATATGACTAAATCTGGGGGACAATAATTTCCAACAATGCTAAAGATTTATTCAGAGTTCTAATTAGGTATAAGATACTTTTGTGCTTTAGCTCCAATTGTTAAAATAATCTTCTAGAAAGCTGATGTTGTCTTTGTCATATGAGTGTGACAGAGAACTTAGGCCCTGTTTCTGGATCATTGTGTGCCTCATGCCACTCAGGCAACTGGCTCCACAGCAGACATCTGTACCTTCACACTTAGTCATCCTTTTACTTTGATTGTCTGTGATTTACAGATCCACCCACAAGGCAGTTTGAAAAATAAGTGGCTAACTTCAGTCAATGAGCCTATTATTCTAA